TGAAACCTTCACTATCGTGTTCCTTGATCAATTCTCTATCGTTTGGTATGTATTTCGTTTCCCTAGCTCTAAAAATGGCGCGTTGGGAGCGCCGGAAGTCGGCAAGGTCACAGTCGGCGGCAGAAATTCGAAAAAATCAAAATTTAAATTTTTGAAATCTGATTGTATTTTTGGATTTGGGAGGTCCATTTGCTCCCTGTAGAAGCTAATATTGCTGCATATTCCCATTGAGGTGACAAGAATTAGCAAAATAGTGGTTCGGGGCGCTTTTCAAAAAAAAGTACCGGACGCTGTTCCTCTTGTGACGTCATAGCTCCGTGACCTGACCTGACCCGGTCAATTTTCTTGCACCACACGATAGCCAATGCTTGCCCCAACATGCATGGGAAGTTTCATCATGATCCATCAAACAATGTGGGTATCACCGGCAGAAAACCTAGGGATTCGGCGCACACGTTTGGTAACTGTCGGCCGGAGGCTGTACCTCTTATGACGTCATAACTCCGTGACCTGACATGACCCGATCAATTTTTTTCGGCAAAAGATGCGCAAAGGTTGCCCCAGAGGGTATTGAAAATTTCAGCCCGCTACGACAAGCCGTTTAGCGTGCACTTCGAAAAAACCTCAGGGGGGGGGGGTTGATACAACCCCCCCTAGGCGTTCTAGGGTTAACACATAATGCCTTCTCTTAACTCCTCGCATTATCCCTCAACAGGTTTACGTCCTCTACAACAGCTCACCCAGTCCCTCCCTCGGCTGATGTTAGCCCCCCACTAATCTTTCAGACCGCTCCTCCCCAGTTCTCTCGCCCCACCCTCTCTGAGTGGCCGCCCCTGCTAATCACAGTAAGAGCCGGCCAACAAGTGACCGCTCGCGATCGGCGGCTCGTTGGCGAAGATATATCGTCAGGGTGGAGAGCGCGCCGCATCAGTGGCATCGTTAATCGGCGCCTAGCCACACTAGTGCTGGCGTTATTACGGCCCTATATTCCGGCCAAAAATCCCAAAAAGGACATGGCACGGCCGAACTGCACAAGACGGATAGAGAGCAGTATATCGAACCCGCTACCTCGAAACCTCAACACCAGCCTTCAACCTGACAGAGACGAGTCTAAAAGTCCATCACCGTGGCGCCTCACTGTCAGCTGTGAGACGGACTACAGAACCCGTCACCGTGCCGCCAGCCCTCCTCTCCCGGCCCATCACTCCAGCCAGTGCTCCATTTCAACCGGCGTCGGGCGGCGGCTGAGCCTGTGCTGGTGGCTCCATTCGGCGGCTCATCAGGGGCTCTCTGGCTAGGCCGGCCGGACGCCCTCCATAAGCTAAGCACACATGGCGGCTGACAGTGGCGCCGGCCGCTAACTCACTTCAGCGCCGCCCCCGCCGCCGCCCCCGCCCACCGCCGCCGCCGCCGCCGCCACCTAAACCAGACAGTAGCGGCTGTGGGCAGAGACGGAAGCATGCCGACCGCCGTATAGTGCCAAGTCGGTAGGTTTTGACTAAGAACGATACTGCGGTTCGACCCGCCGCTAGCGGTGGTGACCAAGATGGGAAACAAAGATATGAAAGAAAGCAGTGAGGGAGAAGTACGGAGAGAGAGAGAGAGAGAGAGAGAGAGAGAGAGAGAGAGAGAGAGAGAGAGAGAGAGAGAGAGAGAGAGAGAGAGAGAGAGAGAGAGAGAGAGAGAGAGATAAAGAGAGATAAAGAGAGAGAGAGAGAGAGAGAGAGAGAGAGAGAGAGAGAGAGAGAGAGAGAGAGAGAGAGAGAGAGAGAGAGAGAGAGAGAGAGAGAGAGCGAGAGAGAGAGAGATAAAGAGAGATAAGAGAGAGAGAGAGAGAGAGAGAGAGAGAGAGAGAGAGAGAGAGAGAGAGAGAGAGAGAGAGAGAGAGAGAGAGAGAGAGAGAGAGAGAGAGAGAGAGAGAGATCCCTGCTGATCGAACAATGCCACTACATGTCCATTGTCCATCCCCACTCACTTTAATACCGTCTGATTGGACAGAGAAGCTATCTAAAGCTGGCAGCCCCGTCCCGCTGTCAGCCAGGCTCAGGTTGGAAAACAAATCGGGTATTCATAGCCTGGCAAATCGCACTCCCACATCATGTATTCAGAGCAACACGCCTCTCACACGTCAACGAATTCCATTGTCAGGTGCGTGATTGTCGATACGACAAAGCTGACGATTTTGTCGGAGGAACTTCATCCAGAGACAGGTGTTTGGGTTTCTTGAGACGGGAACAATTCACCAGCTCGACGTAAATGGTAATGAAAAAGTGGTAATAGTGGAAGTGATTACGCCAAGAGTTATGGCGCAGGCGATGCTGCCAGTGCTGATGGTGTCTGCTTCCGATGATAATTACAGTGATGATATGTTTTATTATAATGGTATTCACCAATGACTTATTTTGTGCGCAGCTTCTCGCCATCGCTCTATAGGCTCCAACTTTCCCACTAAAAACACAAACTTCCGGTTCTAACAACCACCGGAACGAACTGTCGGCAATCAGACTCTCCTCTTTCCGTGCGTGCGTTGTAAGTCCAACCCGTCCAATCGCACCTTCTATGCGAAATAGGGTGACCGGTTTTGCAAAAAGTTTCGAAAAGTTTTGCTCCCCAGGTCTAATCTAACGTATTTGGGGGTGCTGATCACGAATCCGGCGGAAAAAATATAAAATTCGAATTTTTTTTGACCGCCCCGGCTCTTTGAATATTTCCGGTTTTCTCAATTTTGGCATGTTTTTGATTAATATGATGAATGTAATGAAAAAATATTAACAATGTATCGCTAAATGCATGTACCAGTCGATTCGGCATACAGCGGCGTCGAAATCGGCACGCCGCCTGCTTCACCGGCCTCGCAGGAAAGCATAAAGCTCGGAAGGCTTGCGTTAGTTACCCGATTCTCTCCATAGATGGCGCTGGCGTAGCCGCCCGCCGGCCGGTCGTTGCCGTGCCGTTCACAGCCCCGGCGGTCACTTGCGACCGTCGTGGTCGTTATGCTACGTCTATCAAACCACGACAGAAATGTTCACTTCATTTTTATGTTACTTCAGACATATTTTAGACCTATTGTTGAATTGGATAAATGACTATCGTGAATTGGCGATATAGTGGAGTGCGCTCGGGAGCCATTTACAATAGCGAGGAACGTAGGTGGATTGATCTGAATAACATATGACACTGCGTTCACTGTTGATATGAAGTTTATTCACACTATGTAGTCGGGTGACATGAGAACAATGTGACTAACATACCTTGTGTACGACACATGGATGAAGCTAATGCTACTTTTTCATTTTGTTTCGGTAGGCCCGTTTGTTCAGAGCGTAGCCGTCCTGTCGGTCTGCGCCTGTTACAGCTGTGACTGATTCGGTGGTCAGCTTTACAGCCCTTTCGGTGGATTGGGTATGGCAGGGGACCCCCGTTTCAAGGGGAGTCTGTAGAAAGTCGCGCAACTCATCCTCGCTCATGTGTCGTTTACAAGGGGGCTCAATGTCCCGGCCCTCGTCAACCGCTCGCTGCACGTTAACCAGTTCCATATAGTTGTTCGCTTGAACGTTAATTTCCGGCAGCCGGAAGTGCCGAATGGGCTGCTGCTGTGGCGGTGAGGGTGGCAGCTTTGGCGGCGGTCGTGGCGGCGGTGGTGGTGGTGGTGGTGGTGGTGGTGGTGGTGATGATGGCCGCCGCCGTTTCAGACGCCGCTGCTGCTGTTGTGGCGGCGGCGGCGGCGGCGGTGGCGGTGGTAAATGTGCTGCTCGCCATGCTCGGCGATGAAAATCATGGCATTAGGGCAGATGCAGTCCGCATAATCCAGAGCATTCGTCAAAAAAGGCAGCGACAGGAGCAGCCGCCGTTCCCACCCCCGCCACAGCAGAAGCAGCGGCGACAGAGGCGGCGGCCATCACCACCACCACCACCACCACCACCGCCGGCACCGCCGCCACGACCGCCGCCAAAGCTGCCACCCCCACCGCCACAGCAGCAGCCCATTCGGCACTTCCGGCTGCCGGAAATTAACGTTCAAGCGAACAACTATATGGAACTGGTTAACGTGCAGCGAGCGGTTGACGAGGGCCGAGACATTGAGCCCCCTTGTGTACGACACATGAGCGCGGATGAGTTGCGCGACTTTCTACAGACTCCCCTTGAAACGGGGGTCCCCTGCCATACCCAATCCACCGAAAGGGCTGTAAAGCTGACCACCGAATCAGTCACAGCTGTAACAGGCGCAGACCGACAGGACGGCTACGCTCTGAACAAACGGGCCTACCGAAACAAAATGAAAAAGTAGCATTAGCTTCATCCATGTGTCGTACACAAGGTATGTTAGTCACTTTGTTCTCATGTCACCCGACTACATAGTGTGAATAAACTTCATATCAGCAGTGAACGCAGTGTCATATGTTACTCAGATCAATCCACCTACGTTCCTCGCTATTGTAAATGGCTCCCGAGCGCACTCCACTATTTCGCCAATTCACGATAGTCATTTATCCAATTCAACATTAGGTCTAAAATATGTCTGAAGTAACATAAAAATAAAGTGAACATTTCTGTCGTGGTTTGATAGACGTAGCATAACGACCACGACGGTCGCAAGTGACCGCCGGGGCTGTGAACGGCACGGCAACGACCGGCCGGCGGGCGGCTACGCCAGCGCCATCTATGGAGAGAATCGGGTAACTAACGCAAACCTTCCGAGCCTTATGCTTTCCTGCGAGGCCGGTGAAGCAGGCGGCGTGCCGATTTCGACGCCGCTGTATGCCGAATCGATTGGCACATGCATTTAGCGATACATTGTTAATATTTTTTCATTACATTCATCATATTATTCAAAAACATGCCAAAATTGAGAAAACCGGAAATATTCAAAGAGCCGGGGCGGTCAAAAAAAAATTCGAATTTTATCTTTTTTTCCGCCGGATTCGTGATCAGCACCCCCAAATACGTTAGATTAGACCTGGGGAGCAAAACTTTTCGAAACTTTTTGCAAAACCGGTCACCCTAATGCGAAAACCCAATCAACTCACATCGCTGACCAAACTCATAAGCCCACACTCGGGGGGGGGGGGGGAGGACCCACCCATCGCGTACTCACCAAACTCGATGAAGCTGTAAGGCCGTGAGACGGTGTGGACCTGTCGACTGTACTGGGCCTGGAACTCCTGGGCGATGTTCTCGAGGTACGAGAACGCCAGCCGCTTGGAGTAGTCTCTGCTGCACAGGGTCAGGTAGCAGACGGCGCCATCTATCATGTAGCTGTGAAAACGCAAGTTGAGAGCGTTAGTATAGAGGGCGCCGGCTTACAAGGTCAGGTAGCAGACGGCGCCATCTATCATGTAGCTGTGAAAACACAAGTTGTTGAGTGTTAGTATAGAGGGCGCCGGCTTACAAGGTCGGGCAGCAGGCGGAGCCATCTATCGTGTAGCTGTGAAAACACAGGTCGCGATTTGTTCGTATCGCGTTGCAGTAACAGGCAGTAAATCGGTAAAATGGCCACAAGAAGGCAACAAGGTTTATCATTACCCCTGCGCACTTCCTTGGGGCTATCTTCTGCCAAGCAAGACTCGCGTTCCCCCTCCCGCCCACTCCTCACTCCGGCACGTGTTCCAACACGTGACCTATCTATAAAACACGAACACGCGAGTAATACCTATTACCAAATCCGTATTAAACCAGCCAGTCTGATCCTGAGACCATATTAGCCTTGCCGTGCTTTCATCAGCTTACAGCATCTTATATGTAGTACGACCCCGGACCCCCCAATCTAAACACGTCAGAACAGGGCACCAGAGCCACGAATAAGGCCCCTAGGATTTAAGGAGGGCCATTCTGTTCAGGGTCTGTGTTGAAAACGTCACGCGAGGACAGTGCAAATGTACACAAAAGCAGTTGACCGAATGTCTCATTCAGCAATGTAAAGAATAAAGATGTAACGTTATTTCAGCATGATAGACTGCCATCGATCATAGTCGAATGTACCGATGTAGCAGACCATGCAATCTAATCTTGGATTACATCTCATTTTGCAATTTGCTTTTATTGCGAAAATATCTTCATTACGTAGAACTGCTTCATTTCTGTAGAGCCAATGCAAAATCGAAGTGATTTAACACACCTCTGTAGCCTGGAATATGTCGTCACAATAGTGAGTCGGGGAATTCCCCACACAAAGCCTGACCTACCCCTGTTATAAGGCATCGCTGGCAGCCTGTTAGCTCATTGGGCGGCATTAGACTGGATGAATGGCCCACAAAGGCATCAACTGGTGTTAGAATGACCTACATCATCAGCGGTCGCGGCTGAAATGGGCTATGAATGAGCTGCAATGGGTAGTAGCTGCCAGGGGAATTTCGTTTTTTTCTTTAATTCTCATTTGACGGCAGTGAACTTACGGCCTAGTACATTTACCGTGGATTGTTTACAGCGGCGCTTCAGCCGTGATGTAACAGTGGGGAGAGCCTCCCACCAACAAGTGTGCTGAAGTACAGATTATAAAGCTATTTTAACCCGCGCCCCACTGGGGTCAGCGTATAACACGCCCTACTGGGGGGGGGGGGGGGGCTATTCATAGTTCCCCTCCTAACTCCAAAACTACTGGGCCGATCGTCAAAATTCAAACGACGTCTGATAGCCTCGGAAAAACTGTCGACCAAAACCTAATTTCATTGACCTCGAGGTCACCGATGACGTCACAGGTCAGGTCAAAGTAAAAATTATTAGCATTTTGGCTTCTTCACGTTTTGGGCTCTGGCCGCCGTCTTACAAGTCAGATCAGGCTCATTTTTGGTTCACACACTCGTGAACAGATGCTCTAGATACTCTGAGGGTACCAAACTTGTACTTTGATTTTCAGGTCAAGGTCAGGTCATCACAGGTCACGAAAATATGATATCATCCGTCGGTCACGTGACACATGTTTTATGGTCCATTTAGGTCAGAGATTTCGAATTTGATGTCGTTTGTGTCATTCGAGGTCATTTTGAGTCAAATTTAGCTCAGGTCAGGTCACTTTCAGGTCAAAAAAGGTCAAATTTTGAAGTTAAAATTTTTCAACAAAAAATGTGTCTATTGGATGCAGTTTGAGCTCAGGAACACGATGGTGCTATTTATATTGGCGTACGATGTCAAATTCATGCTGAAAAATTGATTTGAAAAATTAATAATTGTTAATTTTTTGCAATAATGCGTATAACTCGGCCATTTTTGAAGATATTTAGCTAAAACTTCCTAGAGTTAGTCATAATAATGCGTTCTATGACATATATTCCGGTTGTTTCGAAAAGTCAAAAAAAAAAAAATGAAAAATGTAAAAATATAAATTTTGAGTTTTATTATATGAAATTTTAGAAATTTTCTAAATTTCGAAAATCCGAGATAGCAGTTTGATAGCGCAGTCTATTCTGAGTCCTCTCATGCAAAGAAATCGGATCTAGCTTAAAAACTGAGCTCTTGGGAGCGATTGCCGTGGTTCAATGTTTTGCGTCGAAATCGGCCGAACATGACGTCACGCTGACGTCATTTCCGGCCGACCTATGGTAGGTACGAAGTTCAAATTTTTACACAAGGTGTCAAATTGATGCAGCCGAAGGTACTGAAAGTTTGGCGTCGATACGTCAAGCGGTTTGGAAGTTATTGCAGAAAAACGGGAGGGGGGCTATAAATAGCCCCCTCCCCCCAGTGGGGCGCGGGTTAATGATGCTGGTCAATGCAACCACATTCGACTGAAATGCAACGTAATGTTCTTGAGATGAGGTGATCTGACGTTAGGTCGAAGGCGTTATTTCCGAATGAAAACTTTAAATTAATCCTTTTTCTGTTGTGTAAAGTTTTGTTTTTGATAAGCTTTATCACGCTACAGCCAATTAATAAGTTCATAACCTAGGCCAAGGAATGGACGCATAAGTCACACATCCCTTAAAAATTAAACCGGCACAGATGGACAGGGTACCGGTATCATTCGATCAATGCAAGTGACTACATGGTAAGAGCCACATCAGCGGCATTGCGACTGTTCTCACTGCTCTTCTACTGTAAAGAAATAAACAACCAAACAATATACTGGCAGTAGAGCTCCTTTGTCAAGTTTTAGGGGCAATGACACAACGCATAAAAGTTCCACCAGTTAACTGAATAAATTCACTTCGCAAACAATGCCGCCTGCTCAGAAAACTCGATCAAAGTGCCAACTCGGACTTAAATTGCGGTTAGCCGCATGGCGAGGCGACGACGGCTCATTTCTCTCTACCGTCCGTTAGAAGGAGCGCGACGGTCCCTCCTGATCTCGGCCATTGCTCACCAGCCGGGAGCCTCATCCCGAGCCAAGCTTCTGAACATCCTCGAAGGGAAGGCGTACACCAAGAACGGAAGGGCGCTGTAAGACGACATTGCATTAACTGGCACAGCACACTCGTGTGTCCCAAAGAAAACGTGGGCAGCACATCGTGTGCGTCAGATACAATACATTCCTAGAGAGACTCGGGATAAATGTGATCCGGTGAGCACGAGTTCTTCGGGGAACCATACTAGGACATGAATTCTGCCGCTGCGGCCAGACATGATGCAGAGAAGCGCTTATCTGCGAGCTGGGCCGCCCTGAAGACCGGCGCTGGAGCAAGATATGGGACACGAATGACCCGGACGCCGGCCGCGCTGACGAAAATATTGCACTGCAATAGAGCGAACGGCGCACTGCAATTCCAGCTACCTGAAAAAGGGACTTGAGCGACGATGCAAATGATTTAGAGTCAATGCGTACCGCATAAGTGGTTGGGTTGGAAATTCGAACAGGCTTTCATTGAGGATTGTTGTCGACATATAAGGGTTATTGTGATTGGTTGCAAAGCTCACGACGTGCATCAAATCTACAGACGTCATTACGGTTCTACGTAGTGCATTTGTTATGAATCATTATGGCTTTGCGCTGTGCATAACGTACGAACCTCCCACGCCGGTTCAGGCTAACGCGTATTTATCACCGTCCCACGGCTATGGCGTGGGTGTGACTTAATGACCCATAAGGCGGCCTCAGTGCCTCGTCTGTGGTAAATGGCAGCGGTCACGGGGTCCCGGCAATGAGGCGTAAAGCATGAGCAGCTGGAGCAGCTGCCGGCACAGTGCCATCACCATCACCAATCACAGTGGCATAGTCGCACGATTCCCACCATGATGATGATGATGATGATGATGATGATGATGATGATGATGATGATGATGATGATGATGATGATGATGATGATGATGATGATGATGATGATGATGATGATGATGATGATGAAGATGATGATGATGATGATGATGATGATGATGATGATGACGATGATGATGATGATGAATTGTTTTTTTTTTTGGCGCCCGGACTACAGTGATTCCCACCATACCAGGCGCATCTGGTGTGCACGGAAATGTGGCGTAATGGCGTGGGCTCTCAAACGAGTTTCATGATGCTGCACCTGTGCAAAAGTTTTGTTGAACATTACCTGACAAATACCTGATCTGACCTTGACCTTATCAGATATTTTTTTACGAAGCGAAGGATGATTGTTAATGCCGCTTATATGCAAATATGTACATCCATATGAAATAGGACCGATAGTACGATACATTAGGGTGTTTTGTAGCCATTGTATGCCATTCAGCGTAAAATGGAATGAGGTAATACAAAACATACATTTGTTATGGAACACTACAGGACTAGTATTCATTCAAACATGCGCGCAATGGCTCACGCCACATCTCAAAAGCAAGCGACGAGAGCCACTCTAACAAGGAGACGCGAGTTGAGACATTTCTCAGAATTAACCACCATCGCGCTCATCCAGCGCCATAACCAGCAGGCCCACGCTGACGACGGCCATCGCTCTTCATTAGTCGCGCCGCACGCGCCAAACGAACTCATTTGATGCCGAGCGCGTCTGGGCTGTGACAAACCCAGCTGCTTTGATCATAACTGAATAGACCGCCGGGCCGTCCCGGCCGCAATGGCCTCAGTCCCGGCACGATCACTTTGGTAGTGTCGGCTGAGGATTAACTGTGTCAACAAAATCACAATGAGTTCTTCAGCGGAGAGGGATATTACTCAACTACAAATGTACCTATATCGGTTCGACAGGTGGGTAGAAGAATCCCACTTGTGAAAATCTGCAGAGTTTCCGATTCACATTAAAACTCTCGTCATTGAACTAAAATGATTTAAAACGACAGTGGTGTTATTGAGTTGACCGAGGGACCGAGTCGAATACAATAACATGATGGCGTCG